TTTAGTTTGAGTATCAACCTGCATCTCTTTTATTCTCACCTCTTCATTCCTCACAAGGTAGTAGACATGATGTAAGTCTGGCATTTCATCCCTTCCCAGAATTTGGGACCTTATGCTCTCATATATTGGATCTAGGCCAGCCAAAAATTTAAATGCTCTACCCTCTTCAACCTGTTTGTCATGCTTTTCCTTGTCTCTGGTATTCTCCCAATCAATAATAAGGTGATGATCTAGCTCTTCCCATAGTCCTTCTAGTGTAGCAAAATATGTTGCAACACTCATATCTCCTTGCCTCAAGGTAGCAATGTCTTGATTCAGTCTGTAAATTCTGGCATTGAAGCAAGTAGCCAGGACATAACTGTAGCATTCTCCTTGTGCCAAGTTGCATATTCAGCACTCCCCACTTTGTGTTCCTTCTTCTGCCCGTCTAAGTAACTAGTGAGTTCCCAGGATGTGATGAAGAGCATGGCTGAAACAGACCATTCTCTGAAGTTGTACTCATCCAACAACACATTTGTGATCTGTAGGTTGTGCAGATTTGGATTCTCCAGATTAGGAGACCTCCCACAAGCCCTAACATCTCTAGAAGACACTTCCCCRGATATGGAAGACATCTTCTCCTACTTGTAAATGTCAAGACTGTAAACACAATATATAGAGAACTGTTTCAAACTTACAGAACTTGCTGCACTGTAAACTCAGTCCTGAGAACCTGTCACAGAGCTGAAACACCGAGTACTACACTGCGGCACTGTGCCCTAATTACTGCTGTTGCAGACTATAATCTGTTGTACTACCTTCTACTGTGTTCTAATCACTGCTGCCTTAGCCTGCAACTTGCTGTGTTGGATTCTACTGTGTGCTAATCACTGCTATCGCAGGCTCTAACTTCACCCACGAACAGTTCTAGGACTGCTGAGATCAGTCCTCCCTCCTAGATCTGTTCTACACAGATTCCTCTTAGCCGAATGGCTACAGTCTGCTGTACTGTGTCTATTAGGGCATCACCTTTTGGGTCTAACTCCCCTTGGGCCCTACAACCAAGGGAAACCCTAGATGTATGTCCTGCTGTGTTCTACGACCAACCCTAGGGTTTCTTTGCAGTAACCAAGATAGAAAAGAAGAAGAGAGAGTTAGATGCGAGTAGAAGAAGTAGCTGTTGTAACCAGGTGAAAGATTAGAGCTTTGATACCATGTTTGCTGGAATAAGGCTGTCGAATGAGAAGGGAAGAAGAAGAAGAAGGAGAAGATAAGAGAAGGGCGGCAATTCCCTCTCAGCCAGCCCTATTCTATTATATATAAGAGCATTACATAATGTTACATAAATAGACTAGAATGCCCCTGATTAGTGATGGGACACCTAGTCAAATAAAACACTAAATAAGATTAGGCCCATTAACTAATGACTTAAGACCCAACAATGATAAACAAACAAATTAAGACAGCCGAACCAACAATGTTAATGGTGATGCAATTTTTTCTTATATCACTTTCATTATTTTTATGTGTTGGTCAAAGCTCCTATCTATTTAAAGTTTTCATTTTATATGGTTATATGGTTTCGGGCATGACCGAGTTCCAATTGCAGGGGTTACAACATTGGAATTCGTCTGATTGATGAATTCTTGGCAAAGTCTAATATCTCCAGATGTGTTGATTTCAAGGAGACTGCTGAAGTAATTGCAAAGGTCTCTCTGAACCTATATTGTTTTATGTATTTATTATTTTCTACAACTTGAAGTTCTTATTTTGAACATATTGAGTTACTTGATTCATTTAAATATACCGTTTACCTATTTGGTTGTTTCATGGATATGGTTTTAGGTATGCATTTTATCTTATTAATATGATTGATTAATTGATGAAACTAACAAAGGATTAAATGTAAAATTAAGTTTATGGACAAATACCTTAGAAACAAAGGGTTTAAAATAAGTAGGACCAATACAGAATATATGCTATGTAAATTTAATAATAGGAGTGCAAATCAGGGTAAACTTAGAGTAGAAATCTGCTGAATTAGAAAATATGAAAGAAAGTAGTTTCTTGAAGAGAGAAGGAAGAGAGAAGGAGAAGAAGAGAAGAAGAGAAGTTGAAAGAAAAGAGAGCAATAATCTGGCCGCCCCCTTCACTTATTATTGATACTAAAATAATAGAACAGTACAAAGACAAATATGCCCTTATAGGGCGGAAAAACATAAAACAGCATATATAACACTCAAAAAACATAATAAAATTTGGACTCACATAACTACTGTGGTCCTCACCTCCTATCTAACAATTAACATAAAACATCTACTCGGAAAACATCATAAAACTAATTAATCTTCAACACTTAGTATTGGAGCCCAAGAGATAATTCAAAATGACCTTTTCCATTACCTTGATTCAATAATTAATAACAAGGGAGAGATTGAGGTGGAACTCACCCATAGAATCAGAGTAGGATGGAAAAATGGAGTTCAGAGTTTTATGTGATGGGTGAATACCACTTAGGTTAAAAGAAAAATTCTATAATACAGTTATAAGACCAGTAGTGCTGTATGGAGTAGAGCGTCATGCTGTCAATAAATAACATGTCCAAAAAATGAGTGTTGGCAGTATACTGAGATGGATTAGTGGAAAAACTAGAATGGATAGGGTCAGAAATGAAGTCCTTCAAAGGAACCTAGGAGGAGCTCCAAGCCTCCAATATGTGGTAAAATGAGAGAAAGTGGACTAAGATGTTTTGATCATGTGCATAGAAGAATATTTACAGCACCTGTAAGAAGAAGTAATCTGTTGCAAGTTAAGGGGGCTAGAAGGGGTAGGAGCGGACCAATAAGGACACAGGTTGAACTAGTAAGAAATAATTTAAGTGCTAATAATTTAACAATAGATATGACACTAAACAGAATAGAATGGCGAAACCGGATTCATGACCTCATGTAGTTGGGTTAAGGCTATGATGATGATTTATCTTATTGTATTGATAAAAAAAATGATTTATCTTATTGTTACTATAAAACTTATAACATGAAGTCCAAAAACTGGTTTAATATTGATTCTTTTAAGAGTTTATTTATTGAGTTCTCATATACAAAAGATAGAAGGTATGGTCCTATACCCCATGTACAAAGATAAATGGACAATTTATCAAAGGATCATCAAAAGAGATATCATGCAGAAAGCTCAGGAATTTGAATATGCAAAACTCCTTGTAAAGTTAATAAGACATAGTAAATTACATCTCCTGTTTAACTCAAGTTTATACATACATGTCATGGCACTTAAAGAAGAAGAAGAAGGGCAGTCAGGCTGCGTTCAAACTACAAAAGCTGCAAAGGACACCTCCCTGAAATTTTGTGTATTTAACGAGGAAGCACAAAATAAGTCCTATACATTTTTCAAATGGTAGAGGCATATTTTTTCACCTTCAAATAAAAACAGATTAGATGACCTTGCTTGTGTGGTCATTAATTATCTTTAGATCCTTTTGATTTAATGCACATACAGCAGTTGGCTTATTGCTTGATAGTTGGTATTTCCATTACTAATTGGTATTAGATCAGCTTGGTTTTCTCTCAAAAGTAGATGCATGTATATTTTGATAATTAAGATACATAGAGGAGAAAATTTGGAAAATAACGGATGGATAATGAATTAGAATTGGAGGATGGCACATTAACTAATCAGGATGAAATTGCAAAGGCCTTGGTGGATCATTTTAAATCGATTTTCAGAAGGCCTCTATCAGGAAGATGGAAAAGTTAGAAGGATTAGACTGGCCAGTTTTAGAAGGTACTGTAAGCAGGAACTTGGAAAAAGAATTTGAGGTGGATGAGGTAAAGGAAGCAATCTTTTCTATGACACCAGCGCCTGATGGATTCTCTATGGCTTTCTACCAAGACTGTTGGGAGTGGATTAAGGGCGATCTTATGTGAGTCTTTGAGGAATTTTATCACAGAGGGATTGTTAGCAGGGGGTAAATGCTACTTTTATCGCACTGATCCCAAAGAAGTCTAGTGCTTGCCATCCCAAGGATTTCAGGCCAATCAGCTTGGTAACAAGTCCGTACAAAATCCTAGCCAAGGTTCTCTCTCTTCGGTTGAAAAAGGCCCTCTCATCAATAATCTCTCAATTCCAAGGGGCTTTCATTCAAGATAGACAAATTTTGGACCAAATACTCATTGCCAATGAATGTGTCAAGGATTTCAAGAAATCGAGTAAGAAGGGCATTGTGTGCAAGCTGGATCTAGAGAAAGCCTATGATTTTATGGTTTGGGAGTTCCTATTTGAAGCATCGAGACAGTGCGGATTTGGAGTAAGATAGTGCAAATGGATTAAGGGTTATCTAAAATCCTGCCACTTCTCAGTTCTAGTAAATGGTGTAGTCAAGGATTTCTTTGGGGCCCAAAGAGGAGTGAAACAAGGGGATCCACTTTCTCCCTTCCTTTTCACAATTCTAGTAGAGGTGCTTGGTAGACTGATTTCGAGGGCGGATGAGAGGGGTCTTTTAAAGGGGTGGAGAATAGGATGGGAGAGAATGGTGGTAACTCACCTACAATTTGCGGATGACATCATTATCTTTTGTGAGAGTGGAGGTGAGTTAGATGCAAGAAACCTAAAGATGCTGGTGAATCTATTTGAAAAAGTGACAAATCTAAAGGTGAACCTCAATAAAAGTGTGGTGGCAAGGATCAACTTAGCTCAAGAGGAGATTAACTTGTGGGCTGGGGAGCTAGGCTGTTTACGGAGTGATTGCCCACTGAGGTATCTAGGTCTTCCCCTTGGGGAAAATCCTAGAAACCTAGAGTTTTGGAACCCAGTAGTGGAAAGATTTGAAAGGAACTTGGCAGTGTGAAAGATGAACTGCATTTCTTTGGGGGGTAGGATTACTCTCATTAAGTCAACCTTAGCAAATCTTCCGGTGTATTGCATGCCTCAGGCTATTGGAAAGAAGTTGGAGAGGATAATGAGGGACTTCTTGTGGGAATCGGGTGATAAGAAGAAAGATCATTTAGTAAAATGGTAACTAGTGAATAGGAGGAAGGAGTTTGGAGGCTTGGGATTAGGGAGATTGAAGGAAAGAAATGAGGCTTTTCTAGGAAAATGGTATGGAGATTCCCTTGCGAGACGGATAGGTTGTGGCACAAAATTGTGGCTAGCATACACGGGCTCTTAGAGAATGGTTGGGATGCTGGAGTATCTTGTAGGGCTTCTAGCGCATCACCATGGAAAGCAATTCACAAACTCCTTCCACTGCTGCTCGGTCATGTCAGGTTTGATGATCTCAATTCAGGTAACAAAATTAACTTTTGGGAAGATGTGTGGGTGGGTATCTCTCCTTTGAAGACATTGTTCCCCTCAATTTATGCCCTTTCCTTTCTTAAAAACAGACCGGTTGCTGATTTCTTAATCCCTTCTCCCTCCTAGTTCGGTTTTGCCTGGAATTTGGGGCTTCGTAGACATGTGAGAGATTCTGAGATGGGCTTGGTGTCCTCTCTCCTTCAGCTGCTAGATGGGGTGTTTCTTGGTACCTCCAAACAAGATACTAGGCTTTGGACCCCTCACCCCTCCGGAGCCTTCAGTTGTGCTTCCTTCTTCAAAACCTTGTCCACTTCTGCTCAACATGGGGTACTGTTTCCAGTCCAAGAAGTTTGGTTCACCCCATTCCCCCGAAAGTGAGTGCTTTTTGTTGGGAGGTCTACCATGGTGCAATTAACACCTGTGATCTGATGCAGAGGAAGAGGCTTGGCTGGTGCCTTTCTTCTAATTGGTGTTGTTTGTGCGAGTCAAGTGGTGAAACTGCTTTTCATATTTTTGTCTCCTGTCCTGTTGCTAGCTGTATTTGGGACTGTTTTTTCTCTCTCTTTGGATGCATGTGGGATACCCCGATGAGTTTGGAAAGGATATTTGACTCCTCCACTTTCAAATGGTCAAAAAGAAGAGGTAGAATGCTATGGAGATGCACTCGGGCAGCAATGCTTTGGGTGATACAGGAGGAAAGAAATCTGAGAAATTTTGAAGAAAAGAAAAGATGCAAGGAAGTGCTGAAAGAAGGGATCATGATAAAGGTGATTTTGTGGGTAAAATCTGTGGGATTGTTCTCAGATTTTACTGTGGACGATATCTTCAGAAATTGGAGGACAGTAGCTTCCTCTTCATCAACTAAAGAGGTCTTAAGAGAGTGGGATCCTCCTGATTCTGGCTTCCTCAAATTAAACTTTGATGGAAGTAGTTTTGGCAACCCAGGAATATATGGAATTGGAGGGGTGATAAAATGACAAAGGGGCTGTGGTGGGGTTGTTCTCAGGCCCTATTGGAAGGGGAGATTCCACTACAGCTGAACTAAAGGCAGTGGTTTTTGGGTTGCAAAAGGCTATGGAGTTGGGAGTGAGAAAACTGGTTGTGGAAGGCGATTCCAAAGTGGTCATAATCTGGTTAAAGCAAAATGAAAAGACTCCCTGGCTCTATAGAAATGAAATTAAGAAGTTTAAATGCTTTTCCAAGGACATGCAGTTGTTAATACAGTGGACTCCAAGAGCGGCAAATGGCTTTGCAGATCAGCTAGCAAAACAAGGGGTTAACAGGGAACATTGTTTCTGGGCTCAGTTGCAAGGCTGGATAATTAAAAGTTGATAGTTGGCAAACTCTAAATTCTAGTGGGGTAGCCAAGGTTACTCATTTCTGTAATCTTTCTAAATTTATAATGAAGTCTCTTTTACTGATAAAAAAAAGGGATGGATAATGAAAGTTGAATGCCTAGAACACTGTATACAACACAAACAAGAATTTCTAATCCAGTTTGCATTCTTTGAGGAAACGAATGGGTGAAAAATTAAAACTCAGATTACAAATGTAAAATGACTTCTACTAACCCTTTGCTTTTAGAATTCTTCATTCAATGCAAATGCTTCCTTGATAGCCATGTTGAATTTCACCCTCCAAACCATTTCAAGCCAGGGAAACATGGTTATGTTTGACAGTTTGTTTCTCCTTACACCAAGTGTACTGGATGTAAATCAGTCCCCAAAAATTTGGTAAAAGGGGAAAGGGGTTTATTTCTACTTCAGTTAGATAAACCTTGCATGTCTTTATTTCTACTAAATATTTATTAATAGGAATCTGAAAATAAGTTGAATTCTTGGAAGATGTGAAGCAGGACAGAGGTCAGTAATTGTCATTGGATAGCTTCAATAACAGGATAACATTGAAAAAAATCCCAATTCCAAACATGCCTATACAATTTATTTCAGTTATAATGAGATTTATTTGTACTGCAGTTAATTTATGTAAGCTTGTAGTATAATGTTCCACTTTTATTCCCAATATTCTTTTAATTTTCTCTCAAGATGTCCTTGTAATATCCAGATTATCAGTTTATTATAGTCCAATTTTCTTGCTGATCATTTTTTTTTCTCTCAAGATGTATCCATACTCTTAACCCACTGGAAAATTTCAATTGTATATGCTTTCATGATACCCTTCAACAGGTTGGATTCAAAATGTTTTTGGGAGTCAGTGCATCTGTAACCAACTGGGAAGCTGATGGAACATGTTGCAGTCTTGTTTTGGAGGATAATCCCTTGGTTGATTTTGTTGAGCTTCCTGATACATGCCAAGGTCTGTACTATTGCAATATCTTAAGTGGAGTCATCAGAGGGGCCTTGGAGATGGTAAGTACTCTGTGCATTTTGCTAAGTTCCTTGGTTTGTGTGTGTATTTTCTATGAGTTCAAAACAATACAGACAACCAATAAGCATTGCCAGCCTGTTATGTGATATTGGTGCCAAATGTTTAGGTGTCCAGATGCGTATGGCACTTTAGAAATCATGGAACAGCACTGCAGTGGCATAATTGTACACGATTCTGAATAAAATTACTTGTATAATGTAAAATTGTAAGCAAAATAAGATTTCACAGAAACAATTGGTGGAAAATCGTGTGTGCGGAGTCCTAGGGCCTAGGTGGATAGTTTTTTTAATAAATTAAATATTTTATTAACTATCAAAATTTAAAGCATTACAAGCATCCCTTGGAGAGGCGTGAGGTGTGGCCTCTCCCCAGTCCCCACAATGTTTCACTTTACATCTTATAGTTCAGTCCAATACAAAGCATCCCTATTCACCCCTTGTTTAGCTAAAAGATCAGCCATAGCATTAGCCAACCTCCTTACCCATTGTATCCTCACATTCATATTTTCTTGTTTACCATTTGAATTTACTAATTTCATTTCAATAGCACCACATTACAGTCCCCAGTTTTTTCAACCACCTCACCACCAACTTAGATTCACCTTCAATCATCGAATATTCTATATTCAAATCATTTGCAATTTGGACCCCTTGTAAAGCAACAAGTAGTTCAGCTCTAACAGAATCCCCACTCCCACTAGACCTGATAACAAAACAATGACATGCCCCTTCTCTATCTCTTAGAACCCATCCTACTCAAGATGGATCAGGGCTGCTTTGGCTGCTCCCATCAAAGTTCAACTTCCAGTATCCTTCAGGAGGCATCCTTACTGAAACTACCTTTGGTTTTGTAGAGGAGCTTCTTGCCACCACAATCCAATTCCTCCAAATATCATTAAAGGAGTATTGGTCGAAGATGTCCATAGTTCTTATCCAATGTATTACTCTAAGCATCACACATTCTTTAATCTGCTGCTTCTCTCCTCTGAAAGATTCTAGGTAGATAGTTGTAAAATAATAATATGGCAGAGAAGCAGGGTGTGATTAACTGAATGCTGTGCTTTTCTACCCTTCTGTCCATATGTTTTGAAAGCAGGGAGGTGTTTTAATCTCTACTAGTAAATCTGTAACTACTGTTGCTTATAACAAATATTATTCAATTTTAGTATGTCAAGTAGACCTGGAGGTTCATGTTAAAGAGTTGAAGGCAGTAGGATGTAATCCATGGTTCAATCGTTTTTAAATGTGTGTCAAAGGGGTTAGTTAGTCTAAGTTTTGGATGGAGGAGATGCTGGAAAGGTTTCCTTTGGTCTTTACTGTGTTGCTGTTTTGAAGATGCCATGTGGAGTTTAGTTGGTTCTCGAGGTTTCGGTGAATTTCTATCACCAGAGTTTCTAACTTTTTGTTTTTGTCTTTTTTTAATGAAATTTTGATGTCTTATCAGACACAGGGTGAGGAAGGAGGTGCTTGCCTACGTTCCTAATTTTCTTTCAGTTGCCTAATTGTTGGGATTTCCTTCATATATTGCTCATTCCATTTCTCCTGATTTTGCATTACAAGTAACCAGACTCTTTAGCACTCTGATGAGAAAGGATGTAGACTAGAAGATTTTTGTGTCAGATGATAGGGTGTACACTAAAATTGTTAATTAATGTTAACCACTGGTTGCAGCCCAAGAGTCCATGGATGATGTGATTATAAAACAGGTCCTGTTTATCTTTTCTTTTATTCATTTATTTCATTAGTTAGTGAGTTCTTGTTATTTAGATTTTTGTGAATTCTAATCTAAATGGTTCTGCCATAGGTTTAGTGACATATTGGGTGATTTCATAATGGATGGCCAAACGTGATTTGGCAGTTGGCATTTGTCCTGCAGTTTTCAAATTTCAAGCAATGGTGGAATTTTCTGTGCTACTAACATTCATTTTCTAAAGTTGACTACTTTGAGAATGGAGTGTAGCAATATCTTACGTGATACATTCCGTTGTTAGTGCATATGCATGAATCTTGGACCCCTCAATCTAATTGGCCTTAACTTGAAGATCATATAAGTGGAAGACCTAACCATCTGATATGATGAAACTTCTTTTTAGAGTTTTAGATATATTAAAGAAAAATAATTGTTCTTCCAGTAAGAAGAAGATTTGTTGTCCCAGATGATTAAGCATTGGACCATTTAGACACAAGATCCATTGGATGATGGTTACCGTAAATCTGAAAGTGTGGTTCATGTATGCCTCTTTCAGGTAGTAGGCCGTTTTGTTGCACATGCAAATTGCTGATTATTCTTTTCCAAGTCTTTAGAGATCTTAATTCCCAGTACATTGAGGCTGTTATGCATGTATTTCTTGGGCTGAAAAGAAAATGATTCTTCCACATGCCTGTTACTTGTGGGCATCTTCTGTTCTTTCAATTGATAATGTTTGTCCTAATTTATTGATTTTTAATTTCTCTTACTCTTCTTTTTTTCCCTTATAAATTCAGGTTTCAATGAAGACTGAAGTTACTTGGGTTCGTGATATGCTCCGAGGTGACGATGCTTATGAATTACGTGTGAAACTCCTGAAACAAGTTCCAGAAGAGTACCCATACAAAGATGACGAGTAAACTTGCCATAATGGAGAGTAATTTCATGTACATGTATTTTTGATTTTTTTTTTCTCCTGCTTAGATTTTGAGCAGTTCTGGCTTTTTAAAATATCCAATTTCCTGAAACTTCTAATAGTGTACTTCTAGCATGCCATTGGCTAATTAGAATCTGCTTTGATCTGGTTAGAAACTTGGATTTATTTGTCTCAGTAAATTGCTTTTGGTTTATTAATGCTTAAGAAACATTTCCAAAATTGTTATAATTGTTGTTTTTTTTTTGCCTGAAGTTCTTAGAAGAAAAAGAAAGCATTCCAATGGACCATTTATCAAGGAAAGAAAATAACAGATGTTTATGGATCTATTTGTTTCAACTTTCAACGTAAAATGGGCAGAAAATTTTATGATGAGAACTTTGTTTTCCATGCCACATCAAAACAAATTAGGATTTTAGAACAAAGGAATGGATACTTAGTTTCAGTCCTTCGGTGGTGTTTGGTTCTGATGAGGCCCATTGATGCATCCTAAACTCGTGCCACCACATGTCTTGAACAAACCAAAGAGATCACTGGTGACACGGATCGGCCTAGCCATCAATCGACCAGCTTGATCCATCCATGCATATAGCACGAATAAATAAGGATGCACTATCAAGAATCTTGGGCTAGTCATAACGCCCATCTCCTTGTAGCACCAAGACCCCTTGGTAAGCACAACCCTCTTGCTCTCTCGCTTCCTTGTTTCATTGCTTTTCTAGCTAACCAACCTCCTTTGCTTGGCCCGGCAACTCATTTCCTACCTACTGACTTAAGCATTGAGAGCTCACCCTAGGGGCACACGTAGAGACTCTTTGCTTTCTTGTAGGTCTTCGAAAGTACCCCAGTTTTGCTTACTTGGTTTGTCCTCTCTTCTCCTCTTTATCTGTTGACTGGATTTGGACTGCAACAAATTAGCATCATCTGTGGGATCCGGATGAAGACTATGCCTCAGAAGACACACACCAACACCAACAGGGACCTAGAATTAGTCCCTCTCTCAGTAGGTCTCCATGGTCATAAAGAAGTGACATGACAACCAACCTCCACCATTAAATCCTCCACAACTAGCACAAGAGGTCCACGACCACGGAGCACCCCAACAATAGGGCTAGACCCTTACACTTGACCACTCGGCCCAACAACCTCAACAGTCAAGTAGAACAATGACAATTGCCCCAAGATGATCACAATCCTCAACCCTCAAGTGAGTGGGTCCATCATCTAGAAGCCTAACACGACTAGAAGTAGGACTAGCAGCCCTAGGACATTGCTCGGAACCTACTACGGGAGGGCACCATCCAACTTGAATCCCCCCTAACGATTAATAAGACTAGGACTGACTCAGTTATGGACAAGCACAACTAGTCCCCAAAACCAAGGTGGAAGCCGAACCTCAATAATAAAATGAAAGACATGTGAGCTCAACTTTCAACAATCAAGGGAAAGATATTGCGATTTGACCTTAAATAACAACTATCCAAGGATCTACCCTTCGTAACATAAATCTGAGATGAGTTGTTCCCTGCAAACATTAAGATGCCAAGCATAAAGGCCTACGGCAACATAGGAAACCCTATGGATCATTTGGAGAATTTCCAAATGCTCATGTTCCTCCATGGATACAATGAGTTGATCATTTGTCGAGCCTTCTAGGCCACATTCTCGGATGTAGTTCTTTAGTTATTTTTTGGTATGTTGCTAGAATCGATCGGATCATGGGAATATTTTGTCACCATGTTCATTAATCACTTCATCAATAGTAGGAAGCACCGGAGGACCTCGACATCCCTAATGGATGTTTAGTAGAAGAAGGACAAGCCCTTGTGAGACTATGCGAAGAGGTTTAACACAAGGCTTTGGAAGTTAGAGACCTTAACCCTTCCCTCACAATAGTTGCACTGATGAACGGCGTTAAACATAAAGAGTTTAGTTTTTCCTCGGTGAAAAAGACACCAAAGGACATGACTAACCTCCTCCCTTAAGTAGAAAAGTACATTAATATAGAAGAGACCTAGGCACATTGCAGGGCCATGGAAGAAGACAAGTCAGATTGAAGGAAGAGTAATAGAGATTAGGACATTTACAAAGATTGGGACAATTACAGAAGAAGGTCATCCCAAGCCAATGACCTTAGTAGGTCACCAAAGGCACTGAACTATGATTAGTATAAATTCCCTAAATGCATCCCAAGCTCAAATCTTGTTCTAGATTCACAAGCAGACCTTCCTTAGGTGGCTTGACAAGATGAAGTTGAATAGGAACAAGAGAGATCGAGATAAGTACTACCACGAGCTAAAGAACAAGATTGAGATTCTCATGTAATGTGGTTACCTTAGTGGTTGTTTTTCTTGAGATTGGCATAGAGGAGTTGAGGTCATGGTTAAAATAGAGGAGATAGACACAAAGGGTAGTGAATATGGGAATGAAAGATGAAGCCAAGGAACAAATCAACAACGTAACTAGGGTCATAAATGTCATCTCCAATGGATCAACATTGAGGGGAGAAAGCTCTTCAGATTGGAAAGCTTATGCTCAGATGCTCCAGGCCAACCAACAACTAGTGAAGAAAGTGCAACCTAAAGAAGTGTTCTTCTGGCGAGGACTTGAAGGGAGCCCAAGTCCTTCATGATGACATCCTGATAATGGTAAATTTCACCATTTACTAAATCCTGATTCATACTAGCAACTCGACAAACATCATCTTCTCTAAGGCATTCAAGTGGATGATGATCAACACCAAGCGCCTCTAACTAGTCAACACACCCTTGCTCGGATTTTGGAGAGACATGGTCCTAGTAGATGGAAGGATCATTCTCCTAATCACCTTTAGAGAGTCATCAGACCATGTTACAATAATGGTGGGGTTCCTAGTTGTGAATATTGGGTTGCCGTAGAACACCATCATTAGTCGACTCATTAAACGCATTGAGGGCCTTGATGTCAACCTACCACCCGGTAATAAAGTTCTTGACTAGCTGGGGCACAGGAGTAGTACGAGGTGACAAAGTAGTTGCTTAACAATGCTATGATTCTGCTTTGAATGAAAATATGAGCTTAGGCAAGTAGCTAGCCATTAACAGCTTGGACCTCAGAGACAAGCTCACAGCTTAGTGTGCAGAGCTAATGGAGGGCCTCGCACAAGTACCACTCTTTGGTGATGATGTTGAGAAGACTGTCCAAATAGGCTTCTATTAGGTCACATAATATTTGAGTAAACATTGTCAATTTTTTTTAGGACTAAGGTAGATGTGTTTGTTTGGTCTATGGAAAACATGTTGGGGATTGACCCTAAAGTGATTATTCACTGACTAAGCATAGACTTGAGCTACCACCCCATCTGATAGAAGAAGAGAAACTATGCATTGAAAAGGTGGTAGAATATTGATAGGGAGGTCGACAAACTCCTTAAAGCAGGCTTTACTTGAGAAGTAGACTACCCTGAGTGGCTTGCTAATGTGGTGATGATAAAGAAGGTGAACAAGAAATGGTGTATATGCATTGATTTCACTAACTTCAACAAATCCTACCTGAAAGACAAGTTCCCAGTACCTAAAGTCAATCGGTTGGTAGATGCCACTTTGGATCATGAGCTTCTTAGCTTTAAGTATGCTTTCTCGGGATACAACTAAATTGGGATTCATACACCTAACTAGGAAAAAACATTGTTCATCACCTTGTGGGGTCTATATTATTACTTGGTAATGCCTTTTGGATTGGAGAAGCCTGGTGCCATGTATCAATGACTCATCAATAGGATCTTTAAGGATCAGATCGACCGAAAGTGGAAGTGTATATTGATGACATGTTGGTGAAGCGCATCAAGCTTGAACAACATCTTGCCGACCTAGAAGAAGTATTTGGCATTCTCAAGAGGTATAAGATGAATCTTACTCCAAGAATGTGAACTTTTGGAGCCGTCTTGAGAAAATTCCTCAAGTTTATAGTGACATAGAGTGGTATTGAAGCAAATCCTAAGAAGACAAAAGGCATATTTGACATACCCTTGTCTTGAACACTAACAGAAGTACAATGCTTGATGGATCAAGTCGTCACTATTCTCATCCAGTTTATGTCCTAATCGACAGAGAAGTGTTTTCCATTTTTCAAAGCTCTAAAAAAAGCCCAAGGGTTTTAGTGGATTGATGAATACAAATAAGCTTTGTAGTAGCTTAAGAAATATCTATGCTCGTAGCCCTTGCTCATCAAGTCAAGTCCTATAGATGAGTTCTTATTTTATATGTTAGTTAGAGATGAAGTAGTAAGCGCAGTGCATGCCAAAGAGGAAGATGGGAAGCAAAAGCCGATTTACTACATTAACAAAGTATTACAGGATATCGAGGCAAGGTACCAGGACATTGAGAAGGTTTCCTTATCCCTGGTCTATTCAATAAGGAAACTTAGGCCTTACTTTTAGGTCCACAGTATTATAGTATTAATTAACCATCCTCTTTGGTAGATCCTTTATAAACTAGATACATCAAGTTTCTTGGTCAAATGGGCCATAGAGTTGGGGGAGTTTGACATTTAGTACAAGCCTCAACTAGTTATCAAACCCTAGGTACCGGTAGATTTTGTAGTAGAGTGCACATTTTCCAACAAGATAGAGTCGACTATGAAATCTATTGCCTCACTTTCCTAGACATTGCATGTGGACGAGTCACCCAATCAGAACAAGAGTTGTGTTGTCATCATCCTACTCATCCTTGATAACATTGCTCTAAAGTATGCCCTATGGTTCATATTCAAGGTCTCCAATAGTGAAGTTGGGTACAAGGCATTGATTATCAGGATTGAATTGGCAAAGGAGCTTGGTGTAGTTAAGTTAAAAGTTTTCAACGATTCCTAAGTGAACCAAATAAATTGAGAGAGTGAGGCTTGGGAGCTGACTATGGCAAAGTACCTACAAAAGGTCAAATGACTTTTCGACAGAATGAGTAGGTTCATATTGTAGCATATACTTAGGTTAGAAAACATTCGAGTGTCAATATCCAAGATGGCCAGCTCATTTCATTTCAACCTCGGGAGAAATGTGTATGGAGACATTATCTTGACCTAGAATTGCTAAAGAAACTTAGAAGAGTAGGCCAAGGCCCCCAAAGTTGCTCGATAAACCATCAGATTCACTATCACTGGAGGAGAATTGTATAAGAGGTCATTCACCCTGCCTTACCATAAGTGCCTTGAGTTTGAGGAAGTGGACTACATCTTGCGAGAGGTATACAAAGGCA